CAGTTCCATGCTGAGAAGGAACACTGCTTTTTTCTTCTTAATGCAAACAAAATTACTATTCCAGATAGATGCATTAGTTTAGAGACGTATTTATTAGTAGCAGAATAGGTATTAGATGTAGAAAAGTTAAGAACATACTGCAGCAACTCTAACAAATATGCATCTTGCAATAAACCTTTTACCTTGAACAACCTTGTCCACATGACCAGATTAACCAGACCAAAGAAAACCATCAAAATTAACAATTTAAGTTAAATAATAAAGCTCTGGAGATTCTCCATTCAAGATACAGTATGTGTTGACCAAGTCTTACACCTGTCTCTGCAATGCTGTGATGCGATTTTTTACGTAGAACTTAACAGCTAACCAGTCTCTGTTTTTAAGTGCCAGTGGTTCAGCTTCTATACAGCGAACACAGTCAGCTTTTCCTGGAACTTTCCAGCTTTGAATGAACCTCATCATGTGGTTCTCCACAGCATGCATTTCATTAACACTCCAGGGTGTTCTCTTACAGGGACCTAAGAGATAAAAAAACAAACAAATCAAAAGAAATTTTCATATGCATAAAGTGTCATCAAAGCTTTGATCTTTAATCAAACATGCATTTGGCACAAACGGCATAATTTATTTCAGAATCGATTGCGTTTGCTGTCATTTTACAGGAATTTTTAAAAAATGACCAAAAAATGAATGAGATGACAGTTTAGAATTTCAACTTTTATTTTCTGATATTTACATCTTGATGTGTTGAACAACTTAGAACAGGGCACCTTTGATGGCAGACCACCCAATTTTTAGGTCAGCAAATGTATAGTAACAGAGTCTTAAAGTAAATTAAAGCAGATAACACTTTATATTTTGTTGTGTATCCCTTGCTTGCAGTAACTGCATCAAGCTGGTGACCCACTGACATCACCAAACTGTTACATTCTTCTTTTGTGATGCTTTTCCAGGCTTTTTACCACAACTTCTTTCAGTTGTTAATTTTTTGGGGGGTTTCTCCCTTCGTTCTCCTTTTCAGGAGGTGAAATGCTGCTCAATTTGGTAAAGGTCCGGTTAATGCAAGAAACACCTGTTAGTCACATGTTCTAATATGTTTGCTAACTGGAAAAATGGGTGGGTTCAAACAAAAGTTGCCATATTCTGACATCTAGATGTAAATATCAGAAAATAAAAGCTGATCTATGAATGAAAAATGAAATTCTGATCTATCATCTCATATTAATCTTCCGAGCAAAAACACAAAAGAATTGGCCTTTACATTCCAAAACTTTTAGAGGAGACTGTATGTGGAATATAGCCGCAGTAAACAGTTAAACTGGATCAGGGTTGTAATTTATATGTATAAAATAGAATCCAAAAGTCTGATACCACTAGTGAAAATGCTTCTATTTTGCATTGTTTTGTAACTTATTGCCAAGTTTTTAATTAAAAATTTTATCAGCATGACTGTGTGAAAAGTATTTTGTACAGTATGTCCCCATTTGCTTTAATGACAGCATGTGTTGGCATGTGTTGTCAAGTTGGCATGGACTCTACAAGTTTGTGTAAAAGCATCTGATGGGTAGATCAAATGCACCTGAGAGTCATATGAACACAAGCTTCAAGAGATAAGACTACAAAACAATCTGACATTTTATACAAAGACCTTAACACTGTAATAGTGACCAAAAAAAGTGCCAAACCTTGCATATTTCTTCTTCATTTTACTTAGTCATAGCTTTGCTTTGTTTTAAAATTTTCAAAAATCTTTTGTTCATTTATAATTTTGACTAAATCCCAAATTTCTAACGTGGTCTCAGACTCTTTGCTTTATCTTTTTATTTAAAAAAAAGTATTCACAAGCATAACACTAATAACAATAAACAAAATAAATAAAAAAATTAAGTTGAAGTTTAAGATTCGTAAAATTTTACCATTTGAGGCCGCTTGCACAACCTTTATCTTTAAAGCTGTTTTACCTAAGGTTGTTTGCCTGACTGTTCAGTCATGTTCACATGTGGGAATATCACTGTCTTGCTGTGGTTTGTATGAAATAAATAAAAAAAAAAACAAACAACAGATTTGGTAAATTAACTCTGTTAACCATCATTACGCATAGGTCTAACCGACAGACTGTACACGTTCTGTGTACAAACATAAACGCTAAAGAATCATCTTTGGATAATGACCTTACCTCTCTTTCTTTTAATTGACCTCAGCAATTGGCCTGTCTCACCGTCATTTAGCCCTGCACTGACTTGTGGTAAGGACAAAGTTGCATCACACTCTGAAAATAAGAAAGGAAGAGAAGATTAATAAATTTTTGGCATTATATTTTCCTTCCTGCCTTCCCTATTCTAATATACCTGATAAGTCCAATTCATCACATATGTAAACAAATATAAAAGTTTAAAATCTTTGGTTAATGACCTTACCTCTCACTTTTTTGTTTGACCTCAGCACTTGGTCTGCCTCCTCGTCAAATTGCCCTGCATTGTCTTGTGGCAATGACATGGGTGCATCACACTCTGATAAAGCCATGTAAATGTAAACACCTAGCATCATTCTGCCATATCCTGCTCCTGTAATGCTCCTGCCCCGTCATTTTTCTTGTTTGCTGTTGTAATACATTTGATTCAACTAATACTGAGTAGAAGTTGGTGTGTTACAGCAAGGAAAACACTAAAATTAGCAGACCAAGAGAACTCCCATGACCATTCTGTTTATCAAAACAACAGAACAGACACCACACACATTACTTATTTCTCCCCCTGTCATTAGGCAAACAGTACTGTAGAATTCAGTCCAGAAATACCTGAATGAAGTTTCTAAACTCTCCTAAACTGCTATCTTTGGCATATTCACTAACGTGAAGCTTTACCTCACTTATGCTGATGAAATACTACTGCTCTATTACAGCATTTACATAACACACATATACCGCACAATACAGATACGCTGTAATATACCCCATGTCCTGTAAAAAGTGTAAAAATGTGCATTTTGAAATATACATAAATACACTGACTGTATGCACTTCATCATGAATTTGCTGCATTTTTGGTCAATCAGAAAAATCCTGTAACAAATGCATTTTAAAATAGCCCTTCTATGTAAGTACATTCACAAATTTTTCTGACGAGTAGTTTTAGATCAAATGTATAAATTAGCTTAAAAACAAGATTACTAAATTCAGGGTCAAGATCTGTCAGGCAAAAGTACTGAGGACCTTGGAATGCAATAAATCCAGAACTGTACAGAAAGTCATAAACATTTACTACCTTAATTCTGAGGATAATATTAAAGAAAAAAAAAGATTGGGGTATGTTAACCACTTACCGGTCGTACTGCTTTCAGGCTCTTCCAATTCACTGTCCACTGTAACTTGCTCTAAAGGCAGAAAAAGAGCGTACAAATAAAAAAAGTTGTAATAACCATACTCTGAGGTATGCAAGTTATAGCATGTGTTCGATTCAAAAGATATCACAAATTATTTTACACTCAGTGTTCTGAAACTCTGTATGGCAACAAAAAATCATAAAATCACTGTGTGTTGTAAGAACGACTAATTGTGTGGTGTATTGTACCATCAGGATCAATGTTGATTTCATCAAGATTCCTCCCCTTGAATTCTGTCAAGCGACCCTTCTCAAATGCTAGGAGAATTTTGCTCAGTTTAGCCAGTTGGAGGGTGCCCTCAGGTAAGCGGTAAAACTGACGATGCACACGAATGTCATGGCCTAGAAAATCAGCCAACTGATCCAGCTCTGTGTTGCTGAGGTTTAACACTTCCGAGAGGGTTCCAATCTGTTTTCTTAACTTTGTAGAGGTGAGTGTGCTGGGATTTTTCACACCAGAAGCCTTTGCAAAATCCCGGATACAGTCCGAGCCTCGAAAGCAGGTCATTGCAAAAGGGCGTGCAAAGAGGTAGATATTTTCCTGAAGTACTCCACATTTACTTCGATTCTTTACGAGCACGTCAAGTGATTCTTGCATTGTTGGAGTTACAAGAACAGCAACCTTCCTGCCTCTTTTGCCTCTGATCTCTATTCGTTTGAAGTGTTGACAGAGCTTCTTTTCCAATTCTGAGAGGGCCAGGCAAACATCTGGATGAGGATCTGATGCATCTCTGGAAGTGTATGCAGACAAGGGCATGTGAGAAACTTCTCCTTCACGTCTCCGATTAAACAGCATCATTTGCGTCAGTGTGACCTTTGCTAATTGTGACCAGTGCTGAGATGAAGGCTCCGCTGACAGCATTTTACGGTAATGGTGCTCTTGCTCATCAAGATACAAGTGAAGACGTTTAACATCTTCGGTGAATGGAAGCAACTGAGGAGAGTTCCATTTGGCTTCCTCCAGTGTTCGCCGAGCTGTGGCTGAAATATACTCATGCCATCTGGAGCTATAGATTTTCTGGAAGCTGCTGGCCTCTTTTGCTGTTGCTTTGTCTCCTTCTATGGTGGCATTGCTTTCAACAAGCATAGCAATTCTGTTCAGGCTATGCCCAAGTTTCACAGCTACACTTGCTGATTCATATTTATTTGTGTCTTTGTTGTAACCAGCTGTCTGCTTAACTGCAGTGACTGTATGCATGAAGTTTTCAGGACGGATAAGATCTTTTAATACACTTAAGGGGTGTGACCTCTTGTGTGCATATTTGGAGTCTTCCAAGCTCTCTCATCTTCTGACGGATGTATTCGTGCATTTTAACCTGCGATCCATACTTATTATACAGATGCTTTCCAAAATCAATTATACACTGGTCATTCCGGACTGCAAGAGCCACTCTATCTTGATTCATGGCACTTATAAGCTTCCAAACACCATCAGTTACACCTGGTGGGGGAGGTGTCGCGAAAGAGCACAGAGCCTGGACACGGGTTTTTCCAGGTTTAGGTGTGGAGTCACCAGGCTTGAATTTGCAGACTTTAACATGTCGCCACAATGTTTTCTTTAAAAACAATCCCTGACAGTGAACACAAGGAATAAACTCTTCACCATCTGAGAGTTTTTTGGGTAACTTGCGAGGAACTAGTTTTCCTTTGCCTGTTTTCAATACAACAGAATTGTGCTCAAAATTACCTTTGTTACGCAGATACTCTAACTGCATTCTCCTTTTTTTGGATCCCTTTGGATGACTTAGTGCCTTCGCTACCTCCACCTCTTTGGAATGTTTACGCTCCAGGTGTCTTGCAAGTTTGGAAAAAGCTAAGCCACAGAACAAGCAGTGCTGTTTTTTGTCATACACTCTCCCACCATCATTCTTTTTGCTTACAGCAGGAATAATCACTGAGTGACTTGTGCTTTCTTGGTCAACAAATGATGTGCTGTCTGGAGTAAGTGTTTTATCACAGCTGCGAGAGTTCTGAGTGTCACTACTGCTATGAAGTTCACCGTTTCCGCTGCTGCTCTGAATCTGAGAGGTAGAGCTGCTGATAATGTTCTGACAAAGTGGGTTTGGGCTTGTACTAGTGCTCTGAAGTGGACAAGCAAGGGGCCTTCTTTTGCACTTTGACGATGGAAAAATTGTGCTACTGTCTGAACTATCTTCTGAGGTATCTGGAATATATTCTTCCTCACTCCCTTCACTGTGATCAGACAGCTCCTCATTGGTGTCAATACACTCATCCAAGTTATCAGGACTCTTCCCTCTGAACTTAAAAAACAGTGACAATTTAACTAATGAAATCCTGAACCATATATAATCCTGTCTGATGAAATGTAAAATATGAAATGAGAAATTTAAGACTTACTTGACTGCTTTGTCGTTTTCTTAGTGTGTTCCCAGCCCATGTGTGTTCCAATTTTCTGACCTTGTCAGCACCTGCATGACTATTGTCCATACTGCTTTTACTGGAGTTGTAATTATCATCAGTGGAGTCAAAAAGGTCATCTGAATAATCAGAAGTCTTCTCTTGTATCTAAGAAAAACAATACTGTAATTCATTTAAGGCACTCGATACTTATTGTTCAACTAATAATCCTAGAAAATAAACAGAAGATTTACACCAAAATGAATAAATGCAAGAAATAGAATCCATTGCAATAATCAAAAGAATATTATTTTAAAACTATAATGTGCTTATTTTAAAGCAGTTTTAATTATAACGCAAGGATATTCAATTTCACCATGTTTCAACCTCTAAATCAGAATAAACGTGGAGTAATGGGTAACGCCAATTTAACAGTCAACGTATTGTGGAAAATCTGATATTTAAAATTTATATTTGTTGAGTAATACTGCCAGATTATTGATCCATTAGACATTTAATTGTGTGATACAAAAAGAGTCAGGCCTAACAGAATGCTTTTTATTTTTCTGAGAGTTCATACAGACCCTTAAAAGAGAGGTTAAGGTCAGAAAAATAAAACAGAAGAAATTGCTTCTAATTTTTTTCCAGTATTTAACTACAGCATGCTGTATTCCACCATTACGAAAACAATACAAATATTATTAACGATATGTAATAATTTAGTGGGTATTGCTTATTAAGCTGACACCAAAAAAACTGATGTCAGAATATGAAAACACTTTTAAATACCTTTAAGGAAGTTCGAGCATTGGTCACAGGACCTGAAGCTGAGTGGCTTGATTCAACTACGGTCATCACGTTAGCAGCGTCCTCATATTCAGGCTACAGGAGTTTCAAATACCACAGTTAAACATTTCAATACATCTCAAACACAAGTATATCATTATTTAAAAGGCACTACAGAATTTCACACCATGTTTTATCAGTGTCTGCTGCTTCAAGTTAACCAGACAGAGAGATACAACGTTATAGAAAAGAGTGTGTAAATGACATCAATCTTAACATGAATCAAAAATTCATATTACACCCATAATGGGATTAATTATGAGAGTAAAAACTGCTATTGAGTACAACAGACCATATGTTCTTTTATGTGTTCACTGCTCTGCTGGTTCAGGTTGAATAGACGGGGTCCCCACTATACTAAACCTGACAGTGTGTGTAACCAATATCAACCTTACAGACTCGTGTACAAAGAGGAAACTATAACAACTTCATTTCAGACATTGAATGACATTGCTCATGAGGGCATTTAAACTGTAATTCAGAAACAAAGTCTACATATTGTCCTGTGAGTCTACTGCTATAGTGGAAGGTTCTACCTAGATGTGGTCCCCACTATGGAAGACCTGACAATGTGTGTAACCGATATCAACTTTACAGACTCGTGTACAAAGAGGAAACTACTACCAATTCATTTCAGACGTTGAATGACATTGCTCAGGAGGGCATTTAAACTGTAATTCAGAAACAAAGTCTACATATTGTCCTGTGAGTCTACTGCTATAGTGCAAGGTTCTACCTAGACGTGGTCCCCACTATGGCAGACCTGACAGTGTGTGTGACCAATATCAACCTTAAACACTTGTATAAAAACAGAAAACTATTACCAGTTCATATGAGACCCTGAATGACATTAATCATAGGGTAACCTACACTGTAGTTCAGAAATGTTGTCTATATGTTGTCCTGAGAGTCCACTGCTATAGTGGAAGGTTCTCCTTAGATGTGGTCCCCACTATGCTAAACATGACAGTGGGTGTAACCCAAACCATTCAAACATTTCTATCCTGAGATGGTCCCCACAATGCGAGACCTGAGAGCATGTGTAACTAATACAGAATTTCACACCATATTTTATCAGAGTCTGCTGCTTTAGTGGGTCAAGTTAACCAGACATGGAGCCACCATGTTATAAAAGACAGAGTGTTAATGATAGCAATCTTAATATGAATCAAAAATTCATGACACCCTTAAAGGAATTAATTGTAAAGAGGACAAACTTCTGTTGAGAACAATAGACCATATATTCTTCTGTGTGCACTGCTCTGCTGGTTCAGGCTGACTAGACGTGGTCCCCACTACGGCAGACCTGACAGTGTGTGTGACCAATATCAACCTTAAACACTTGTATAAAAACAGGAAACTATTACCAGTTCATATAAGACCCTGAATGACATTAATCATAAGGTAACCTTCACTGTAGTTCAGAAATGTCTATATGTTGTCCTGTGAGTCTACTGCTTTAGTGGAAGTCTCTATCTAGACGTGGTCCCCACTATACTAAACCTGACAGTGTGCATAACCAATACCAACCTTACAGACTTGAGTACAAAGAGGAAACTATTACAAATTCATTTCAGACACAGAATGACATTGCTCATAAGGGCATTTAAACTGTAATTCAGAAACAAAGTCTACATATTGTCCTGTGAGTCTACTGCTATAGTGGAAGGTTCTACCTAGACGTGGTCCCCACTATGGAAGACCTGACAGTGTGTGTGACTTATATCAACCTTAAACACTTGTTTAAAAACAGGAAACTATTACTAGTTCATATGAGACCCTGAATGACACTAGTCATAAGGTAACCTACACTGTAATTCAGAAACAAAGTCTACATATTGTCCTGTGAGTCTACTGCTATAGTGCAAGGCTCTACCTAGACGTGGTCCCCACTATGGCAGACCTGACAGTGTGTGTGACTTATATCAACCTTAAACACTTGTTTAAAAACATGAACTGGTAATCGTTTCCTATGAGACCCTGAATGACACTAGTCATAAGGTAACCTACACTGTAATTCAGAAACAAAGTCTACATATTGTCCTGTGAGTCTAATGCTATAGTGCAAGGTTCTACCTAGACGTGGTCCCCACTATGGCAGACCTGACAGTGTGTGTAACCAATATCAACCTTACAGACTCGTGTACAAAGAGGAAACTATTACAAATTCATTTCAGACGTTGAATGACATTGCTCAGGA